GAATGGTGATAAAGGGCATCCTTGCCTGGTTCCCGTTCTCAAGGGGAATGCTTTCAGACACTCTCCATTTAGGATGATGTTGGCCGTTGGCTTTGTATAAAGGCCCTTATTGATGTTGAGGAATTTCCCTTCTATTCTTATTTTGCTGAGACTTTTTATCATGAATGGGTGTTGGACTTCGTCAAATGCCTTTTCTGCATGGATTAATAAGATCATGTGGTTCTTATCTTTTGTTTTATTTATGTGATGGATTAAATTGATTGTTTTTCTAATGTTCAACCATCCCTGCATACCTGGTATGAATCCCACTTGGTTATGGTGAATTTTTTTTTTAATATGTTGTTGAATTCTATTCACTAGAATTTTTGAGGATTTTTGCATCTATGTTCATGAGGGATATTAGTCTGTAATTTTCCTTTTTTGTGGTGTCTTTACCTTGTTTTGGTATCACAATTGTGCTGGCTTCATAGAATGAGTTTGGGAGTATTCCATACTTTTCTATGCTCTGAAATACCTTTAGTTGTTGTGGTGTTAACTCTTCTCTGAATGTTTGGTAGAATTCTCCAGTGAAGCAGTCAGGGCCAAGGATTTTGTTGTTGGGAGTTTTTTTTTTTTTTTATGACTTCTCCAGTCTCTTCTTTTGTTATAGGTTTATTTATTTTTCCTACTTCAGTTTGTGTTAGTTTAGGTAGGTAGTGTTTTTCTAGAATTTGTCCATTTCCTCTAGGTTTTCAAATTTGTTGGAGTACAATTTTTCACAGTATTCTGTTATGATTCTTTTAATATCAGTTGGATCTGTTGTGATATTGCCCATCTCATTTCTTATTTGGATGTTTTGCTTCCTTTCGTGTTTTTCTTTTGTCAGTTTGGCCAACGGTTTATCGATTTTGTTGATCTTTTCAAAGTAACAGCTTTTGGTCTTGTTAACGCTTTTAATTTTTTTTTTCTATTCTCTATTTCATTTATTCTGCTCTAATTTTTATTATTTCCTTTCTTCTGGTGCTTGTGGGCTTCTTTTGCTGCTCTCTTTCTACTTGTTCGAGTTGTAGGGTTAATATTTTGCTCTTGGCCCTTTCTTATTTTTGGATGTGTGCATTTATTGCTATAAATTGACTTTTGAACACTGCTTTTGCTGTGTCCCAAAGGTTCTGGTAGGATGTGTTTTCACTCTCATTTGATTCTA